GCGGCAGCGGCGCTACCTGTAAGTCCTGCTGGCGGGATGGGAGGGAAGGGAGGCTGCGTGCGGGGGTGCGGGGGTGCGGATTCGGATCTCCAGACCGGTCGGAACCCTGGGCCCGCAGGCCCTGGCGAGCTGGGATGAAGGAGGAGGGTACCAGGGAAGCCCTCCGATTGCAGGGCTTGGACCGAAGTGGAGGCTGGGGACCGGTAGTCACTGGCGAGTGCTGACCAGCCCGAACGTGTCTAGACGCCGCCCTCCACCCTCTAGACCTCTCCGCGGGCGGAAGAGGGGGTCTCAGCAGCCGGAGCCCCTGAGAGCTGAATACCTACCATTAGCCTCTACGCTCTGGGGCTGGGAGTTAGGGAAAATTGCAAGTTAAACACCTAGCTGCCCCCCACCTTGGCCTGGGAAGAGCCGCGAACATTTGCATGTAGCTCCCCTTACACCTCCCTGGCCACGCCCTCTGCTCCGCTCTCCTGAGGGCTGGGGGGCCGGCTGATGGGGAGCCTGGGTTTGGAGCTGCCCAGCGGCTCCCTCAGATTCGCACGAGGAGGCAGTGGAAGGCAGCGGAGGCCTGCTGCGCCCACCTCCAAGCGGTGCCCTCTCCCACCGGACCTCCTCCTGCATTCCGCAGATGCATGTTGGATCCGCAGCTCTGAGTTTGTTTTGGTTTGAAGAAGGGAAATGGTGTTTTTCTCCTTTCTCCTCTTCTCCTTTCCAACAGCTGTGAGGAGGAGAAGGAGCCGAAAGAGCAAGACTTTGGGGAGGGCGGGAGAGACTGCTTAGAGCTGCCTGCCTCCTACCCACCGTGTGCACTCAGGTCCAGAACGACCTGACAGGTTCCAGAGGTTTCCAGTGCAGGCTCAGTGCGCTGGGGTTGGTATCTGGGGAAGAGCCGGCCTGGAGGAGATGAGGCTGCCCCGGAGGGACCTGCCAGGCATCTCCCTTACCTGGCCTCTGACCCGAGGAACCGAAACACATAGGCAGGTAGAGTGCGGAAACCTCTCCCAGCTCTGCCTGGGGCCTGCAGAAACTCTGAGGAAGCCTGCAGTGATCAAAGTCCAACATGCCTGTTCAGTCGTGGCCTCTGCCCTGCTGCCCAGCCCCTGTCCAGTCTGCAACCTGGACTTAGGCTCTGCTCCACCCTGCTCCTGTGAAGGCAGGGCCACCACACCCTTCCTTCCCGGGCTGTCAGCTGTGGTCTGGCCTCAGCTGACGCTCTCTTCTGGAGGCCCTGAGTGACCATGGTGGGTGCATGTTTCTATGACACCAGCCCAGACAACGATGTGTGTGTGTGTGTGTGTGTGTGTGTATGCTGAACTTGCATGATGTAAGGTATCACCTTGAAAAAAAGCTCAGCCTGGTAAGGAAGTATAGAGGTGATTCTGCGGCCCCTCCTCCTCTGCTGTGCCACCTTGAGCAAAGATATTTCCCTTCCTGGGCTGATTTCCTCCCTAGAGCGGTAGGACCTGCATCTACGTGTTCCTTGTTACCTCAGGCTGCCTGGCATTGCAGGAGGGAGAAGAGCTTCCCAAGTGCTGTGGCCAGTGCTGTCCCGGCTCCGTCAGTAACCCCTGAGTCAGGCTCCTCTTGTGTGTGGGGTGGGGGGAGTGTGGCTTCTTTATTTGGTGCTAGTGTGTAAAATGCCCTGTGTGTGTCCACTTCACCAAGGAACGACTGAAGGCTCTCCGGCTGAGCCTAGGAGGTGGTGCCCCTCCTTTGCCAAGAACCCAACCCCAGATGGCCGGGGGTTCTATTTTTCTTCCTATGCAACTGGACGGTTGCAGAGCTGCTGGACCTTCGAGAGACAGGTGGCTTAGATACACCTGCGTCTAGACCAAGTTCTGTGTCTCCTGTTGGGTATCTTCATTCTCACCTAAGGGTGGTTCTACATGTTGGCTCAGTGCCCCACCTTACTGAGTTCAGCCCCCTGGCCCTTTGGGCAGAGCCACCTGGCTTAGGACTTTGCTGCAGCCAGCTGTGGAACCAGATGTGAACAGCTGTCTGCAGAGCTCAAGGGAGCCAGCAAACCGAGCTGTAACCTCATACTCAGTTAGCTTCTGAGTCACTTTGGAAGAGCAGGAAGGTTCCTGGTCCTGGGACAGGGCCTCTCTCTGGGTTTCACAGGTCTTCAGGAGAACAGGGTCTCCTGAAAGTACATGCGAAATCATGTTGTCTGCACATTGTCCCGGGCCCTGGAGGGGAGAGTGTGGCTTCTGTGTTCTCAAGGAAGGATTTGTTCCGGACACGGTCAGGACTCCAGGGTGGACCCTTTTTGCTGTCCATCACCTGCATCTCTGGACTGGGGTTCCCTGCCCACATCCCAGTCCCTGCGCTCCTGTCTCTGGTCTCTGGAAGTGAGGGCCAGGAGCAGGGGAGGAACCAAGCACTTTGGGCTTCTTGGAGAGATGCATGAGGGAGCAAGAGGAGAGAGAGGCACCTTCCTCTGGGAGGTGGCTACTGACCGCCCCCCAGCCTGGCACCCGCTTTGTTTTTCCCTCCTGGAGATTCAGGTGTCCCCGTCTGGCCTGACCTCCTTGGCTGCGGGGATCCCTTTGAGCTCCCCTCCCTCTTTCGCTTGCCTGGAAATGAGGGTGTCTGGGAGGCCTCTGGCGGCGGGCGTGGCTGCAGCTCTGGAAATGAGGTCATGGCTGAAGCTTGGCTTACCTGCTCTGCTCTCCTAAAACATGTTTCCCTGGGCAGGGCTGGTGCCTGGCAGCCTCCGAGGCTCATGCTCGCAGAGATGGTCCAGCAGCTGTGGCTGCAGACCGAGCGCCCTTTTCCTCTGGCTCTCTCCAAGGACCAGACTGGGCCAAGGGGCTTTAAAGTGGGTAGGAGGCAGAGAAGGCCGGAGGGGCTTGGTCAGAGCTTGACAGAGGAGGAGGAGGATGTCCTTTGCAACAGGAGAGATGGAGGTTGGAGGACAGAATGCTCTAAGGGGTCAGATATGGAGAAAAATACCAAAGAGCCCAGGAAGGGGAGAAGATGAGACACAGCCTTGTTCTTGCTGGAGCTTTTTATCCGAGGCTCCACCAAGGCCTCTTTCTCATCCTTCCGTTCTCTTGACCCCCACCCCCACCCCCAGCCTGTTGCTCTGGTTGGAGGGCTGAGTCACCGAGGGAGAGGGGCTGGCTGGGGATCACAAGTGGGAGCACGGAGGATGGCGGGGCTCAGTTTCAGCCGCCAAAGGAGCAGCCTCTGGGGAGGTGGCTAATTTGGGCAGCAGGGCTGTTACAGAGCTGGGATCCAGGAATCCCAGAGCTGCCTCCTGCCATCCTGGGGCTCAGAGTAGGAGGGGAACTCGCAGAGTTGAGGGCTCCAGGAATAAGGCGTGTGGGGTCCAGGGGCCTGAGAGCTAGATCGTGACATACCCCTCTGAATCTTCTCCTTGGAACCATTCACACCTCCTTGATCTGATGAGATCTGGGAAGCTGAATGGTATAGAATGGTATAGACCAAGGCATCTTGTTCCAGGGTGAGCCAGCTTGACGGTCAGCCTCCTGGGCCCCTCTTGTCAGCCTTCTGGGATCCAGCGCCTTCTCACTTAGCTGCTGCATTCACTTCTCGCTGCCCAGTTGGGGTGCTGGGGCAGGGTGAGGAGCTCTTCCACCACTCTAACTCAGAGGGCTCCCCAGAGGCTAGGAGGGGTTTTCCGGCTGGATCCAGATGAAAGGCTGTTGGAAAGCCCTAGGGAGCAATCGTTCCACCGCCCACCTACTTCTTGGGTGGGGGAGGGAGTGGTCCCTGCTCTGCGCTGCCCCCACCCCAGCCCTGCTTGACTCCAAGAGAGGGGAGGTCCCTTCTGGCTCCTGCCTTCTGACTGGCTGGAGATGGGTTTAAGGGTCAGTGTTTGGATTCAAATCTAGACCTGACCCAGCAGTAGGTAGCTACTGGAGATGCTCATTTGCGTGTGATTTACACTTGCATTTGCAGATTGCTAAGCTCCCTCCTATCTTCTGGGTTCTCTGGTCCCCACCTCGCGCCCACCTGGTGTGGCTGGACCTGATCTTCCCTGCACAAGCCTTCCCTCATCCTTGTGCATTGGATCCTGGGCTGGGAGCCAGAGAGCCTTAAAGGGCCTCAGAACTGAGCTAAAAATACCCTTGGGGGGTGCGGGGGGGGCCCTGTGGAATGTCCCAGGAGGGTAGGGCCTGGGATTAGGGCACTGGCCCTCCCCTCCCCCATCTGTGGGCACTCCCTGGCTTTGGGCAAGCAGTGGGAGGGTATAGGTCGTGTGAGGGTCTACTGTGATTCACTCATGTCCAGTTCTGCCCTTTCAGTCCCTCAGGAGGCTATGAGGAAGGGTCCCTCAGCCTCCTTTGGTTGAGGCCAGGGAGGTGGGGGGATTTGGAGATCCTGTTGCTCCTCAGGGTCCTCCTGCCCAACAGACACCTTGGACAGGTCAGGAGTAGCAATGAGGACACTGCTCCAAAAGGCCCCCAGGGTCCGTCCACCCCTTGAAGCCTGCAGGCCTTCATCAAGGTCATTGTAGCTGCCCCTCTCCACCTCCTGCCAATTTTGAGCTCCTAGGGCCGCAAGCCCTCACCCGAGTGACTGCCCTCATCCTCAGGCCGTGAAGTCCCACTTCTGTGCCGTGGCCTCCTCACTGTAGACAGACAGCCGCGGCAGTCTGTCCTTCCCTCTCGGCTCTTGTTTCTCTAACCTGGCAGGGCAGAAATCCCTGGTCCCTGGAGGGCATTGGGTCAGGCAAGGCCAGTCCTGGTAACCCAAGTGCCCACATCAGCCTGGGCTTTGTAGTCAGAAAAACACTTTTGTGGAGGGAACCCATTTCTCCCTCTCATAAGCCTGGGCAGCGGCTGCCACACTTTATAGCTGAGGCACTCTGGGCTCGGATAGGGAAAGGAAACTGCCCAGAGCCAGGTCCCCAGTGCCCAGGCTGAGATGGTCCTTTCCCATGGACACCACTGCCTCCTCTTTCATCTCTCAGGCACGCACAGAGATGGCCAGACAGTGACCTCCCCCGGGCACCTCCCCAGGCCAGACAGAAGGTGACTAACAGAGGTCCCTGCCAGTCCCTGAGGTGCTCAGAGCACAGCTTTGCTGGAGAGCTTGGCCTCAGCTCCCCAGCACGCCTCCCAGGTGAGGTGAGAGGTGCTGACAGGCTCCGCCCCTTTCCCCAGCACCCTGAGGCAGTGCATTCCTGACTCCCAGTGGGGCAGAGGCACCCCGGCCCCAGCATGCCTAGGCCGGGCCCTTCCTACTCTCTGCCACTCTCAGGCTGCAGGTCCCAGGCAGAGGCGCAGGCGTGGTTGTGGGGCCGTTGGCGAGGCTGTTGCTGGGCGCTTCCTTCCTCCTCTGGCAGGAGGCCCGAGTTCTGAGCTCAGGCCTCCTGTTCCTGGGCCCACATGGGGGGGCCTCTCAAGCTTATTGGATTGAGGAAGGGGTCCCCACAGAAAACACTGAGAGGCTAGAGGGAGATGGCGTGGGAGAGCTGGGGTCTCAGATCCCGAGCAGGTGGCCTGTGGTTGGTCAGCGGAGGAATTTGCCTCTTTACATAGATGTCCCAAGGACCTGCGGCACTGAGTCCAAGGACTGCCCAGAGCTTGCATTTCAGGGCATCCCCCTGTGCCTGCTGTGTGTTCCCCCTGTTCTGTCGGCCAGGTTACCAGGTTGCCTGCTATCAGTGTCCTCAAGCATGGATTCTGGGGGCAAAGCAATAACCCCTTCCCGTTCCCACCCTCTGGGAACCAGAGTTCTTGAGGCCACATTGTCCAAAGTGTCAGGTGCCCAGTGCCACCACAGACCTTGTATGCTGTCTCAATGTGGGATGGTGATGTAGATACCATGTGAGTCCCTTAGGGGCCCGGACCTCCTAGATCTTTTTGTTTGGGGGCGGGGCGGGTTGTTGAGACGAGGTCTCTCTATGTACTTCAAGCTAGCCTTGAACTCACTGTGTAGCCCAGGCTGGTCTCATACTTGTGGTGATCCTCCTGCCTCAGCCTCCAAAGTGTTGGGATTACGGGCTTGTACCAGGACCTCCCAGATTTAAAATGGCGTCAAGAGCAAGGACTCAGGTTTCCATTGCTCTACCCCATCCCCTCCTGAGTCCTCACTCCCCCTACCCCTATGCTAGAAATTGTGGCAGGGTCACAGTTCCTTCGGTCTTGCTCTCTTCAGGTCCACCTTCGTCTAGAGGCCATAGCAGTCCTTTGAGGACTGAGCTCTGACCACATCATTCTTTTGCCTAAAATCCCTTCAGATTCTCCCTCCAAACCCCGCCCTTCCCTCGGGTCCCTTCCTGATGTTCTGGACTCATCTGTACCAGAGGCCTAGTCCCTGACTCACCCTGCTTGGTCGTCCTTCCAAGCCCTTGAACACATGCCTTTTCCTGGCACTGGGTCACCTGGGTGATCATTCTCAGATGCAAGGCTCCTGTTCTTCTCACCTCCCTCCAGAACCGGAACTGGAACCAGAACCAGAACCGGAACCAGGTGGATTTGATCCTGCTTTCTTTCCTCTGGGGAGGTCCCTACTGAGTGTGCCTGTTTCCTGGCCCGGGCTTTCCCGGAGGGCATGGCAGGGGCCCGCTCCTGGCTCGGCCCCAGAGTCTGGCACAGAGCGGATGCTCAGGAAATGCAGGTTGAATAGCAAGTTGGCTGGCAGGAGGCTGGGGAAGCCCGAGCCCCCGCCCACCTGCCTCCCCACCCCCAGGCTCCTGGCCGGTGCCCCCCGGGACCTTGCCATGCATGATGGCTACACCAACCGGACCGGTGCTGTGTACCTGTGCCCCCTCTCTGCCCTCAAGAACGACTGTGAGCGGATGGACATCACGGAGAAAAGTGAGGGGCAGGGGCAGGACTTGGAGGTGCAAAGCTTGCTGGCCTGGTTCCTAGTGACTTCCTGCCCAGCTGGGAAGAGAGAGGGAGCCCTGGAGGGGATTGGGGGAGCTCGGTAATGATGGCCTGGAGCACAGGTGTGAGGAAGGCCGCCCTGCTGGGGTGGGGGGCCCAGGGGGAAGTCACCTGCCCCCTGGAGGCTCTGAGCTGGGGCATAGGGGGAGGTGTCCTGGCTCATAACCCCTCCCGTGCCCACAGGTGACCCTAACCGGCACATTATTGAGGACATGTGGCTTGGGGTGACGGTGGCCAGCCAGGGGCCTGCAGGCAGAGTCCTGGTAAGTAGTCACACGCTCAGCCCCGCTTCGCTCCCTCCTTCCTGTCACCAAGAGCTTGGAGGAGAGCAGAGGGCATTCGTGCAGGCCTGTGCCCTGGCCTTTGCAGTGTGCCTTGCACTGGCTGTGTGACTCCGCTGGCCTGTCTGTCCCTTGCTCCCTGCCCCATGGGGAAGGCTTGTGTGTCTGGCACTCTCCCACGGCTGAGCGTGGCCTGGGTCCCGTCTGAATCATCACCCACTTCCTCCCTGCATCCACGGGGTCCTCAGCATTTGTGGGAATGAGCAGGGAATGGAACTCAGAGGAGGAAAGGGCAAAGGGGGCCCCAGGCGGCGGGCGCTGGCCTGGCTCCTTCCTGGGAATCTGGCGGCCGGAAGAGGCACAGCCCTGCTGGCCCTGCTCACCCAGCTCTGCTGTCAGTGGTCACCTCCTGCCTAAGTCTTCTAGTGCCCTGGGGTCTCAGTCTCAATTTCCGAGTCCCTAATAGGCCTCCCCCGTATTGTTTAAATAGTGAAATGTACAAATTTGAAGTTTCTGGGAGTTTTGACACACGTATACCCCTGGGTAAACAACGCCCATGACGTTAGCTGCTCACCCACCCACCCCTATTTTTTTTCTTCTTTTGTAGTGCTGGTGAGACCCAGGACCCAGGATCTTACTCATAATAGGCACTCTACCAATGAGTTACATCCCCAGTCCTTTTCTTAGTAGAAATAGTTTCTAAATTAGCCCACGATGGCTTCAAACTAGCAATCCTCTTGCCTCAGCCTCCAGAACAGGTAAGATTACAGGTATTCTCAATGTCACACGCAGTTAAATAATCTTTCAAAACAAGCATGCTAGTGGCACTCACAAATAGAAGGGGACAGAAAAAGCAAGTCCACAACACTGAGACCTGTTTCTTGGCTTTGCCTGGGGGGGAGCCCAGGCTATTTTAAGACAACCCCCTTTTATTTTTGCAGTACTTGGGATAGGGACCAGGTCTTGTGCACGCTAAGCAAGTACTCACACACTGAGTTACATCTCCATCTTAAAACACCCTTTTTGTTTTGTTTTGTTTTTGTACTGGGGATAGAACTCGGGACCTTGCACTTGGGAGCCAGGCGGCGGCACCACTGAGCTACATCCCTGGCCTTAAAACATCCTAGTTTTGACCACTGCACAGATAAAAATTGATCACTGGGGAGATTCTCCCTGTTGTGAGGCAGAACATCGTCATGCATAAGTGTGCAGGCTTTGGAGCCGGCCAGCTTGGCTTTGACAGTGTCCTCAGTCTCTGTCCAGATGTGAACTCTCAGGCAGGTGCTAACCGATCTGTGCCTCAGAATCTGAAATAGGGCAAAAGGGCCGGGGATTTAGCTCAGTGGTTCCGCCGCCTGCCTCACAAGCGCATGGACCTGAGTTCAACCCCCGGTACCAAAACAAAACAAAAAATAAAATAGGGCAAAGCATTGTCTGTACACCACAGTGTCAGCAAGTTTATATGGGAAGAGCTTGCAGTTGGGCCTGGTATATAATACAAGGTAGGATCCAAAAATATGGCCTATATGTACATTTAAAACACTTATTACAATAGGGCTGGGATTTAGCTCAGTGGCACCGAGCCTGCCTCCTCCCAAGCACAAGGTCCTGAATTTGATCCCTGGGACCAAAAAAAAATTATTTTTATTACCATAAAAGACACATTGCCATTAATCACCTTCCCATCCTGCCCCTTGCACTGAACACACTTATCCCACTGTTGTTGCCGTTTTCTGAAGCAGCTCTGGACATCCTCTTTTGTGTGTGCTTTCAAATTGCACTATTAAAAGAATTTTTTTGCGGGGGGCACTATCACAGCAGCCTTGATGTCCTGAATCCATTGAAAACACTCAGCTTTCATGGTCATTTTGACTTGGTGGGGGCGGAAGTGGCGCCAGTGAATACGTGGTGTTCCCAGTAAGTGGTGAATGAGTGCTGTTCACAGGCTGCCTTTCTGTGGGGGGCCTCCTCTCCCCTCCCCTCCCTTTCTCCAAGATCTCTAAGCCAGACCCACACCTGTGGCTCTCTGAAACTGCTCTTGACCTGCGCAGCAGATTTCTGAATGCTGAAAGCGGGTAAGACCTAAGTGTCACTGTGGGAAGAAAAGCAGCCGGGAGGCCTCCTTCGGCTCCTGTCCCGCAGAGCCAAAGGTGCAGGGACGAAGGGGACAGCTTGCTGCTCTGGGTCCTGCTCCCCACCAAGGCTTTCCGTGTTGGGCTCCCAGGTCTGTGCCCACCGCTACACCGAGGTGCTGTGGTCGGGGTCGGAGGACCAGCGGCGCATGGTGGGCAAGTGCTATGTGCGGGGCAATGACTTGGAGCTGGACCACAGTGACGACTGGCAGACCTACCACAACGACATGTGCAATAGCAACACTGATTACTTGGAGACTGGCATGTGCCAGCTGGGCACCAGCGGTGGCTTCTCCCAGAACACTGTGTACTTCGGCGCCCCTGGTGCTTACAACTGGAAAGGTGGGGACCGGGCAGGGGGTGGGGAGGACTGCGTGAGGGGCAGAGGACCCCCCACCAGGGCCAGTGACCTAGGCCTTCTGCACTAGGGGCAGAGTCAGGATCCTGTGCCAGCACCAACCACCGTGTCCTCCACCGTGTTCAAGCATTTCCCACGTGCCTAGGGCTGTTTTACTCTTAAAACAATTTTTATGAAGCAAAGAGTGTTGAAAGAGCTCACTTGACAGCATAGAAAACTCAGGCTTAGAGAAGTAGATTGCCCACGGTTAACACAGCAAGGTATGAAACACAGATGGGAACGCAGGCCCATCTGACTTCAGCCTTGCCACTAAAAAGTTTGATTTTATCTTGGCTCTTTTGAGACAGGAACTCGCTTTGCAGTCCAGGCTGGCCTTGAACTCACAGCGATCCTCCTGCCTCAGCCCCACCGAGTGTTAGGATTACAGGCATGCGCCACCATGCCTGGCAAAAAGTTTATGTATTTAAAACATGCTCCTGATACGGCTCCTAAATGGTACAGTAGGATTTGGTAAAATGAACAGAAGTGCTCCTCCCCTCCCCTTCATCTCCCTCACCCCGTTTTCCAATTTTAATAGTCTCTTGTGAGCCAGGAGTGGTGGCACACACATAATCTTAGCTACTCGGGAGGCTGAGACAGGAGGATTGCAAGTTCTAAGCAAGCCTGGCCAATTTAATAAGTCTGTCTCAAAATAAAGTAAAAGGGCTGGGGAGGTAGCTCAATGGTGGATTGCTTGCTTAGCATGTGTGAGGTCCCAGATTTGATCCCCAGTAGCACACACACACACACACACACACACACACACACACACCCCCACACACAGGTGCGCGCGCGCGCATCTTGTGAATCCTAGACTATTTGATATATATGGGTACCCAAGCCAGACATTTGGGTACACGATCTTAAAAAAAACAAAACATATTGCCAACAGAATCATTTTGCTACTTTCTCTTCATTTATCCAAAGTCATGGGCATTTTTCATATTAACATGCACAGGAGCAACCTTTCGGGCACTGAGGAGTATTTGCTGGTGTTATGCCCCCTGCCACACGCAGTCCTGCAGGCATCTGATAGCTCACTGCCCCTGCCTCCTTGTCTGTCTGACAGAGGCCCCATAGTCACAGCTCTGGGCTGCAGGAAGGCAGAGGCACTGTCCTGTCCCTGCTTCTGCCTCCCTTGGTCCTTTAGAACCTTGGCAGGCTGCGTGCATGGGAGCAGGGATGGGGTCACGTTAGTGTAGGGGTGGGAAGTGTCACCTAGAACCTAATACCCAGGAGCCGGGAGGATGGCACGGGAGGGCAGCCTCACCTCTACAGCTAGCTTCCGTGGCATCATGAGCACAAGTTTCCTGCCCTGAAGCCTCAGTTTTCTCATCTGCAAGATGGGCATTGTCATTCTGTCTCAAAATGCTTCCAAATGAGAGGCATTGTTATCATTATGGGGGGTCAATATGGTGGCAACTGATACTCCCCTATTCTTTCCCAAATCCGTGCGCAGGAAACACATACATGATTCAGCGGAAGGACTGGGATTTATCTGAGTACAGTTATAAGGAACCGGAGGACGAAGGAAATCTCTATATTGGTGAGTCCAGTGCTGGCGCTCCCTGGGTGACAGGAGGAGGAGGAGGCAGCTCAGTCCCTAGCAGCCTGTGCCCGGTGGAGGAGTGAGGCTAGGGTGCAGGTGTGGCATTTGATTCAGTGACAGGCACATAGCGGGCACTTCCTGTATGCCAGGCCCTGCTCTGAGCTCCCAAATGCGAAGCCGCTGCTCTCGGCGGTCTCTCGGTGGTGTTCTCGGTCCCATGTGCAGGCAGGACGGCGGGGTGGGCTGGGAAGGGGCAGGGGCAGGGCCACCGGGTCTTGATGGAACCCTGTGCCTCCTGCAGGGTACTCGGTGCAGCTAGGCAGAGCCGTCCTGCACCCCTCAGACGTCACTATTGTGACGGGAGCCCCGCGGCACCGACACACGGGCGCCGTCTTCCTGTTGAGCCAAGAGGCGGGCGGAGACCTGCGGAAGAGGCAGGTGCTGGTGGGCACGCAGGTGGGCGCTTACTTTGGCAGCGCCATTGCCCTGGCAGACCTGAACAATGATGGGTAAGACTCCAGGGCATCCTCTGGGGTCCAGGGAAGAGGAGGGGGCGCGTGGACAAGGTCGGGAGGAGGAAGCTTTGCAGTCCTGCTGTTTGCGGGGCTTTGCTGTTTCTGGGGGTCTGCGTGTCTTACACGTGACCCCCGCATGTGCCTGTCTGTGCCACCTTTCCTATGGCTGCGGTGCACATGGACTGTTTGGCTGTCATTTTTGCTTGCATGGCTTTCCTATGACAAATGTCTTCTATTTGGTGGCCTTTCTGTGTTCTCCCCGTGGCCTGTGGCTGTGTACTCTGCGCAGTCGTGCCTGTGAAATGAGAGCTGTGGCCGGCCTCACACTGCCCTCCCCTCCTCTGCTTGCAGGTGGCAGGACCTCCTGGTGGGTGCTCCTTACTACTTCGAGAGGAAAGAGGAGGTAGGGGGTGCCGTCTACGTCTTCATGAACCAGGCAGGCACCTCCTTCCCTGCTGAACCCTCCCTCCTCCTCCATGGCCCCAGTCGCTCCGCCTTCGGCTTCTCTGTGGCCAGCATTGGTGACATCAACCAGGATGGATTCCAGGGTAGGCGCCAGCACCCCTCCCCTGCTGGCTGAGCGCCAGCTGCGTACCAGGGAGGACAGATCCCACACAGGCCCGGGACAGGGCCCAGGTCTGGTTGGCTCAGAGTAGCTCTAGAGAGGAGAGGGGACAGGCGAGCTGGGGGACGTCTTGGTGGGTGGACCAGTGGCTGAGCGTGCACAGTGGAGAGGAAAAGGAAGGGGTACGACACACGTGCAGAATGCACCGAGATCTAGCTAGCGAGGTGGTGTCCATCAGGGACAGCTGGGGGTGGCGTGGGGTGAAGGTGGGGAGCTGAAAGCCAGGCACAGAGCTGGGGTTTCTGTTTGGGTGACAGGACAGGGGTAGTAACAGGCAACCAGAGGAAGTGTGGGAGCAGGGATGTGATGTGACAGCATGATACCTTAAAAAGATATCTCTGGAGGAAGAGGTGCAGGATACGGGAGAGGCAGGGGGAGGTACCAAGGTGTGAAGAATGTGATATATATCGCCCTGGGCGTGCAGCGTACATCCGTGAACGCAGAGCTCTGGGAGGCTGAGGCAGGAGGTTTGCTAGTTGGAGCCCAACCTGGGCAATTTAGCAACTTAGTGAGATCCTATCTCAAAATAAAACCTAAGAAACTGGGGATTCGCTCGGTCTGAAGGCCCAGGGTTCAATCTTCAGTACCACAATGAATGAGTGAGTGAGGTGAGGTGAGGTGTAGGATGATAAGGGCGGGAACGAGGTGGAGTCCTGAATAGCAAGGTCCTCACCAGTGCTCTGCAGGACCTGGAGGCCAGTCTCGGCTGAGGGGCCATGAGAGGGGCCGGTGAGGGCCTGGGCCTAGCTGCTGTGGGAGTGCTTGGTTTCTCCGCAACTTGCTTTTCTGCCAACCTGTTCCCCAGGACATAGCTGAGAACCAAGAGGAAGCAGGAACCTCAGTAGAGGCAAAATGGTGCCAGGACGTTCCGCCCACAGAGCCCACGTGCTCCCTCTGGTTTCTGCTTAGGACCACAGACTTGGCCCAGCTTCGGGGTTCCAGGCCTTATCAGACCAAATGCAACAAGAAATGTTTAAGTAATGTTTAAGAGGATCATAAAATGGTTTGGGTTTCTCACGGCAACAATAGAAATCAAGTCCACTCCGTTCAAGATTAAAATCTCAGCCCCAGCATTAGGCAGACATGCGCTCCGACATCCTCCTGTCTACTCCTCCGTGCTGTGACTCTGGGTTTTCTGAGCCTGCTTCCTCATCTGTATACCAGGGACAAGAGTACCTACCCCACAGCACTCTCGGGAGCGTTAAGAGAGCCTATAATCCTATAATCCCAGCACTTGGAAGGCTGAGGCAGAAGGATTGGTGCGAGTTTGAGGCCAGCCTGGGCTACAGAGTGAGTTCAAGGCTGGTCTGGACTCTACCTCAAAAAGCTGGTGCGCTTGAGTGGGGGGACGAGTGCTTTAATCAAAGGTGGTTGCCAGTGCTTCCTTTTCGGACCCTGCTGGTAAACGTCGTTAGAAGAACTGGGGTGTCCAGAGAGGAGATGAGTAGGGACGTGGAAAAGGAGTGATCAGGGACTGGGGTGTAGTTCGGCTGCGGCATTGATTTGCTGTGTGACTTTGGGGAAGTCACTTCCCCTCCCGTTTCCCACCTGTAAAAGGAGCCAGGTGGCCTCCATGGTCTCTGTTTTAACCCCGAGCCTGCTGCTCAGAGCACCGCCTGCGGGCTGAGGTCAGGGCACGCTGGGTCTTGGGGCTTGCAGCACAGGGTTAGGAAGATGGCCGGCCTGACTCCCTGAGTGACCCTGCCCTCCTCCTCCTCCCCAGACATTGCTGTGGGTGCCCCGTTCGAGGGCCTGGGCAAAGTGTACATCTACCACAGCAGTTCCGGCGGGCTCCTCAGACAGCCCCAGCAGGTATGGGTGGACGGGGACGCGGCTGCTGCCCCTGCCAGCTGAGGTGGGCCTTCCTTCCTTTGCCCATTCCCCTGGGCCCTGCTCCCGATAGTCTACCCCAGGGTCTGTCTCCACCGTGTCCCCCTGTCCCCAGATAATCAGCGGAGAGAAGCTGGAACTGACTGGCTTGGCCACCTTCGGCTACTCTCTGAGTGGGCAGATGGATGTGGATGACAACCTTTACCCAGACCTGCTGGTAGGGAGCCTGTCGGACCACATCGTGCTGCTGCGGTGAGCCAGGGGGACACTGGACGGGAGCCTGTCCCTCCGTCCCTCTCTGTATAGAGTCCCGTCTCTCTGTCCTCTGCGCCAGGTCCAGGGAAGCCTTCAGTCCAGGAGGCACTGATATCTGCCTGGTTCTTTTGTCTCTGCAGGGCCCGGCCCATCATCAACATCCTCCACAGGACCTTGGTGGCCAAGCCAGCTGTCCTGGACCCCACGCATTGCACGGCCACCTCCTGGTGAGACTGTCAGCCCCTGCTCTGCCCGCCCGCTCCTCCTGGTTGAACAGGCTGGAAGGGGAACCAGCTCCATGCCCTTCCTCTGGCCACCCCTGATGCCCCACCTTTAGAACTTCTATTCTGGGGCCGGTCCTGGCCACCTCACTGGAAAATAAAGCTTTCTTGCAAGAGACTATGGGTGAATGGGGACAACAGAGTCCAGTGGTTAGGAATGAGAGCTCTGGCCTGCCTGGCTCAAGCCCCAACATTGTAGAGCCAGAGAGGGTACTGTGGGGTGCATGGTCCCAGAGGAAGAAGGAAGAGGCGTGCACTTAGGTGGATGGATGTGAGGAAGGAAAGAGAGCCACCGTGGGCAATTATTAATCTCCCGTGCCTCAGACCTCTTTCCTGTAAGAGTTATTACCCATTTCGCAGGGTTGGTGATAATTAAATGAGGTAATGTGTAAAATGTTCCTAGTACGGCCCTTGGTATGCCTGAAGTGCTCAAAAAATTTTAGTTGCTAAGAAAGTGATGACAGTGATGGCAGTGGGCCCAAGGTCTTTACGTGAACGACCCTGGTGAAGGCGCAGGGAAACAGGTCAGGGAAGCAGGGGTAGGTGGTGAAAGGAGGTGTGGACCGGAGATCCCAAGGCCTGGGTTCGAAACTGGACTGGGCCACCAACTGCTTGCTGACTTCAGACAAGCCCTTCTGCTCTCTGGGCCTCAGTTTCCCCACTGGTGACCTCTAGCTTTGCTTTCTGTAGCTCTGTTTGGAATGAGAAGGAAGGGGCCAGGGAGAGCTCAGATCAGCTCTGCGGACACCCCCGTTTCCTCTTTCTTGTCCCCAGAAAGGCCCTAGGTTCCCTTTCCCTCTTACAGGAGCCAATTAGGGCCCAGTCCCCGTGTCCCACTGTGACCAGGTCCTCCTGTCCATCCCCCAACAGTGTGCAGGTGGAGCTGTGCTTTGCTTACAACCAGAGCGCTGGAAACCCTAACTACAGGCGCAACATCAGTGAGTGCTGGGTGCTGGCGCGGGCGCGGGTGTGCCTGCTTCCCTGGCGCCTGCTCACCGCCCTGTCCGCCTGCAGCCCTGGCCTACACTCTGGAAGCCGACCGGGACCGCCGCCCACCCCGGCTCCGCTTTGCCCGCAGCCAGTCGGCCGTCCTCCACGGCTTCTTCTCCATGCCCGAGACGCGCTGCCAGACGCTGGACCTGCTCCTGATGGTGAGGGGCTCCGGGATCCCCCCAACCAGGTCGGGGGCGAGGGACAAGGGACTCCCCAGAGACAGGCTGGAACCCCGTAGGTCCCATGGGTGAGGAAGAGGAGGTACGGGTCACACACCCGGCATATGTAGCAGGGGAAAGATAAGGCCCTGAGAAAGTGAGGAGCTCACCTCAAGGGGAGACGTCCCTGACTGGGGCCTCAGAGAAGGGGAGGGGAGAAGTCACCCTGGGGGCCCAGCCCTCCCCCGACCCGCACACACCTCATGGAGGAGGAGCACCATGCCCTCTCTGGCTGGGGTGGAATTCAAGGCCGTAGGAAGACTCAATTTGCGGTCATTCCAGAGGGGTTCAGCCTAACGGGGTTGGGGGTCGTCAGCTGCTCGGCAGGACTCGGGGTGTGAAGATTTAACCCCGGGGAGGGTGGTGCAGGGCCTGGCTCAGCTGGCCTTCGTCCCCCAGGATAACCTTCGCGACAAACTGCGCCCCATCGTCATCTCCATGAACTACTCTTTACCTCTGCGGATGCCTGAGCGCCCTCGGCTGGGGCTGCGGTCCCTGGACGCCTACCCGGTCCTCAACCAAGCGCAAGCCATGGAGAACCACACGGAGGTGAGCCATCCAGGGCCAGGAGGGCTTCGGGCTGAGAGGCTGCTGTCGGGATGCGGCCCCTCATGTCTCCGACTCCCCAGGTCCAGTTCCAGAAGGAGTGCGGGCCGGACAACAAGTGTGACAGCAATTTGAAGATGCGGGCGGCCTTTGTGTCCGAGCAGCTGCAGCCGATGAGCAGGTGGACACTACGCTGCGTGGCACTGATTGGCCAAAGGCGTGGCGGGGTCCCATTGGCTAACACGACTTGGGGGCTGGATCTCACCCGTCAGAGAAGGGCCTTATTGGTCAATAGGACTTGGGGGTGGGCACTCGTGGGTGGGTGGAGCTTTCTCCTGGTGAGACAGGGAGGTAGGGCCCTGCTGTCAAGAGAAGACACCCAGCCTGGTGGAGCTTCAGCATACCCTAGGGATGGGCCTTTTAACTCAGTCCAGGGCTCCTCCCTCAGGCTCCAGTACAGCAGAGACTTCCGGAAATTGCTCCTGAGCATCAACGTGACCAACACCCCGAGCCTGGAGCGGGCTGGGGAAGATGCCCACGAGGCGCTGCTCACCCTGGAGGTGCCACCCGCCCTGCTGCTGTCCTCTGTGCGCCCTGTAAGTGCACGCCAGCCAGGCTAAACCCAAGCAGAGATCCTCGCCGATTTGCATACCATATGCATGTCATTTGCATGCACAGTGTTTTGCTGTGCACCAGCCTCCTCGAGCCTGCAGTGTTTCCCTGCTTGGGGGATCTGGTTCTCTGGCCTCTGGGGTTTCTGGAAAGAAGCCCACGAGCCTGACACTCAACTTCCTTATCTTCCTCAGCCTGGAGCCTGCCAAGCTAATGAGACCATCCTGTGCGAACTGGGTAACCCCTTCAAGCGGAACCAGAGGGTGAGCCCTGGGCCCCGGGGCTGCTCTTTTGCCTCCCAGGCTGCCTTAAAGCCAGGGTCATGGGGGTGGGGAAGCTCAGGCGGTTTCAGTCTTTTACTCAAGGGTCTTGCGAAAGTAGCAGAGATCTGGAAAATAGCAGGGCTGTCACCCAAGGGAGTGGGGAAGGAGACGGGATCAATGAGGTGAAGACCCCTCCCCTGGAATGGGGGCAAGAGGACACCAGGGAGCCGCCTCCCTCGCTGAGTGTTGGCCCTTCTCTTCCGCGTGTTGTCACCCTGTGGGTCCCCAAATGCCCCCTCTGCTTCCCTGACCCTGGCGGCAGATGGAGCTGCTCATCGCCTTTGAGGTCAGCGGGGTGACGCTGCACACAAGGGACATTCAGGTGCAGCTGCAGCTCTCCACGTGAGTGACCCGGTGAAGCCGGGCTGGCTGGGGCAGAGATGGTGGCCTCGGTCTCCTTCTGACCCCTGCGTTCTCTCTCCAGGTCGAGTCACCAGGACGGCCTGCGGCCCGTGACCCTGACGCTGCTGGTGGACTACACGCTCCAGGCCTCGCTCAGCATGTGGGTGCTGCTCTGCTCCCCACCCTGCCCCCCGCCTGCTGTGCCTGAGCCAGGGCCTCCCTGTCCCCAGGTGTCTCCCCCGGCCCCCACTTCCTCTGGGTCACCCTTTCCTTTAACACCATTAATGCTGTTGTCCTAATGGAGCAGGAAGGGGAGGAGGATTCAGGAACACTGGGGCTAACATGTTGGTCCTTGCCCTTGTTTTTGTTTTGTTTTTTGTTTTTTTTTTTTTGGTTTGTTTTGTGTTTTTTTGGAGGTAGAACCCAGAGTATTTTTGTGTATGTTCGGCAAGTACTCTACCACTGAGCTACCTTCACAGTCCTTTTCCTTAAGTTGCCCAGGATGGCTTCAGACTTGCATTCCTCCTGCCTCAGCCTCCTAAGTAGCTGGGATTATAGGTGTGCACCACTGCACCACACTTCAGCCATTTCTTGAACACTCGTACTAAGGAAAAAAATATTTCTATCTTCTATACTTTAATGTAATATAAATGTTTTATTTGAAGTTGAGTAATTATTTGTATTATATAAATATAATTTTGGGGCAAGAATTAGTTCAAAGGGGTCAGAGGTTATCTGCTAAGGATTCTGTGTACATCATCTCTGACTTGTCACAACTGCCCTGTGTTGGACTATTATAAACTCCACCTTACCTGTGAGGGGACAGCCTCAGGGAAGATGACTTACTGAGGCCATCGGTGATTGACAGAGCTGGGATTTATACCCGGATCTGCCTGACCTCAGAGGAGCTGTGGGTAATCAGTCTTGGTGCCTACCGCCTCTGCCAGGGCCTCAGCTCCCTGCCCCCCACGACTCAAACATTTTTCTTACGCCTAGGGTGAATTACCGGCTGCAAAGCTTCTTCAGTGGGACCGTGATGGGTGAGTCGGGCATGAAAACTGTGGAGGACGTGGGAAGCCCACTCAAATATGAATTTCAGGTAAGGGCACCTCTGGGGTTCTGGCTGGGGACCTCTGGGAAAGGAGTTGGGGTTCGTTCTGGATCTGCGGTCTGAGGGTGGAAGGTAATTTTTCAGAAGACAATAACCATAACACCTCTGTGCTCACAGGTGAGCCCTGTGGGGGAGGGGCTGGCAGCCCTGGGAACGCTGGTCCTAGGTCTGGAATGGCCCTATGAAGTCGCCAATGGCAAGTGGCTGCTGTACCCCACGGAGATCACCATCCATGCCAATGGGTCCTGGCCCTGCCAGCCTCCTGGAGACCTGGTCAACCCTCTCAACCTCACTCTCTCTGTAAGCTCACCATCGGGATGCTTCATTTGCATCTCATTTGCATCTCATTTGCATGCCACGAGGCAGATGTTTTTCCCTGTCCTTGTGCCCTTTGGGAGGCTGACTTTCCCGCTGCCCTTTCCCCGCTTCTGCTCCTGCTTCCAGTTCTTTCTCTGCCTTCTCAGCAAATCTCCTCCTTCAGGACCCCAAGAACAGGCCACAGCGCAGGCGGAGAGAGCTAGACCCTGGGGGAGAACAGGGGCCCCCTCCCGTCACTCTGGCTGCTGCCAAGAAAGCCAAATCTGAGACCGCGCTGGTGAGTGGCCGGGGTGGGGGGAGGACTGCAGTGTTAGCACCACCATTGCAAGGTGCAGGGCACCCAAGAGCACACGGAGGAAGGGAGCTGGAGACTCAGGCTGATGACATGGGCCTCGCCCTCAGAAGCCTTCAGACTGGGGGAGTCTCATCTCCTGCCCTCAGCACCCCACTTCCATGGGGGAGCCCCCAACAGTGGACCAAAGCGGGGGATGGGATGCTGGCCGTGCTCCAAGGAGGCCCGACCTGTTGGGGGCCATCCGGCGCTCACAGGGCTGGAAAGCTGAGCTGGGTGACCCTGCTGGAGGAAGAGGGACGGGCCTGGCTGGGTGGAGAGGTAGAGGGTGTCCTGGGGAGAGGATTGGAGGGGGAGTTGGGGACCTTGTTCACAGGCCAGGGACTAGGTTTCATGGCATCCATGTTCCTGGCATCACGTGGCCTTGGCCCAAAGAGTGTGCCTTGAACATGTCTTAGGGGATGTGTGTGGGTGACAAGAGTGAAGTCAGGCCCTTTGGGTCACCCAGGGGTGGGACAAAGTCCAAGACCGATGAAGGGTAAGGAGCACAGCATGAAGAATTTGGAGACCCAGACTGGCTCCTGTCTTGTGTTCCCTGCCCACCTCAGAACTGTGCCACTGGCCGTGCCCGCTGTGTATGGCTGGAGTGCCCCCTTCCTGATGCCACCTTCACCACCAGCGTGACCGTGAGGGCTCGCGTGTGGAACAGCACATTCATCGAGGTGGGTGCCGGGAGCCGGAGGGGAAGCACGGAGACAGGAGGGTCCTGTGCCTCCGCGCCAGCCCCTCGTGACACCTGGCCCAGACTTCTCCTGTGTCTAGATTACAAATCTCTCCAGCTCCACGGGCCGTATGGTTTCTAGGGTATTGGCTCCGCCCTGCCATTGTAGCGAAAGTTGCCCTGGATGAATGGGCTTGGCTGTGTGCTGAGAAATACTTTCTATAGACAGTAGCCCATGGCCTAGCCCAGACTGGGACTGTCAGGGACTGCTGTGCCCTCTGGCACAGGACCTGCTGCTTGAGGGAATGAGTGAGTGATTGATGTGTGTGTGTGTGTGTGTGTGTGTGTGTGTGTGTGTGTGTGTGTGGGAGAGCTCGGGCGGCCCCCTCCTTCG